ACACTGGCCAGTTATTTTCATGATAGCTGGGGTTTTCGATTGTTAGAACTTATCTCTAGTCAAATTGGAGAGTGTTATGATTAAGATATTTTCTTCGTTATTTTAAATGGTACATTTACTATAATCCTTTTTTTAATTTTAATTTTTACAGTCCAAAAATTTTAAAAAATTTACCAGCTTTCCCTGGTAATGTGTATTTCATTTAATAGGTCCAGAGCAACTTGTGGATATGACAGTGGTAGGTATCGAAGGGGGAACATTTTTTTGCGACCTAGGTGTCCCAAATTCCTACTTGTCTAACTGATAAATAATTATCAATGTTCATTTACCGTTATGTATATAATGATACATTCAGATAAATGCAATTTTCCATATTTAATCTTCCAGAAGATAGGAAGTTTGATTGTTACTGTCACTAGCTCTCAGCAATTAAAGAAATTTTAAATGAAAGTATAAACTAGTTAAAACAGCCAGGAAAAGTTAAAATATTTTACGTCTAAGCACTAAGAGCTTAAATTTTGCAACAATGCCAGGTAATGTGTAAGCAAGTCCCCCACCCCCATACACTTTGAACATTTACAAAATTAGCTATTTGGTATCACGAGTTTGCAATGACTAGGTTAAGGTCAGCACGTGTTACTGCAGTACACATTCACCAAGTTTAAGGAACTGAAATTTAATGTCAACTGTTTATACGTTAACATGCTTGCTATTAAAAGTTACTTCAGCAAGATTAGAATAAACCAATTATAAGGGTATTGATAGAGTACTGTAATAAATACCTGCAGTTCCACTTTGGACAACAATCTCCACTGTGTACAAATGATGTGCAGCTGGGGTGAGGTGGCTGGGGCAGCCGAGGCAGTGTACATGCACTGTACTTGACACCAGTGTGTGTAAAAAGTGGATGTTAAACATGGGTCTTCAGTCTTCCACACACTGCCTTGTGCATGATAAATGCCATCAACAAAGCACCACTGCAAAAATTAGTTTAAATTAAATTGCCTTGAAATCTAAGAAGGGGGTTTAAGCAAAAGGGTAGAGAAAAAAGCATACCCATGGGCGGTTAAAACCCCGGGTCAGTAAAAAATTATTGATCGGGGTTCAAACCCACCCGAAATTTTGTTTGCAATCTTATCGTTGAGTAGGAAGAACATTTAGCTTGAAAGGGTATCTACAAAGTTTGATTAATCCCCAACCCCTAGTTAAATCCCTTCTTCCGGTATTTAGGACATTTTCCATTTAAAAACCGCAATGCAAGAAACTGTTTTATACAAGATTTGTCCGAAAACTTTCCGGTCACACCCCGGAGTTGAGCAAATTTAAGAGCAAGGCAGACCCTAATCATTCATCCCTAAAAAATTTTTGGGTTTAGCAAGCACCCTTTGGTCATTTGGTAAGGGGGGGATGATCCACCCTTTCCCCTCCCCCACTGCAAATAAAAACCTGCATGTGCCCAGCGGGGAAAGTTAGGGAAGGTTGAATAATCAAAAGTTTTTTTAATTACTAAATTTTTAAGTACTGTTTTGTAACAGGTTCTACTTAACCTCAGTTACCAAGTCGAGGCGCTGCGCACGTTTTGCCCCCTTCAACAAAATTTTTAGAGCGACTAAGCACAACTTTTAAATATTCAAATGCCCCTATCTTATCCATTTATATATATTTCCTCCAAAAGTCTAGCACAGTTTAGATCTTTTTCTTCAGTTTTAAATTAATCCTCCCAATTTGTGTGTGTAGTGATAAATTTTAAACCTGTAGCCAAATTGGTTTTGAGTCTTCTGTCGCCCAAAATCAAGGAAAATTTTTTTAGAAAAAATTGCCCATTCATTTCCCCTTTTGGGGAAGAATGCCCTGAAAACCCCAGTTAAGATAACCCCGTCGGGAAGGTCGAATGGGTTTGTACCCCTATGCAAAATTGGGAAAATTCCCACTTCAAATACTTTGAAATTTTTTTTTACGCCATGAAAAATGTTAAATCAGCCAAAACTACAAAAATTTTGAACCCTTTAAAGTTTAAATTTTTTCCTTTAATCATTGCGAAGTAGTAACGAGCTTTTTTAAAAACACGTTAAAAAAGGGTCATGGTAAAGGTACCCCCAATCAGTGCTCACGAACATTTCCCGGAAAAAAGTTGTGATTATGGTATCAACTTTTTTAAAAGTTTGCGGGGGATCAAAACTTTATACTTAAAGGGGATGCGTACAACGGTACGTTTAATTGGTGACCCCTCCAAAAGGGTTAGATTGGTTTAAGATATTTACAAACCATTTTCGATTTGAGTGGATATTAAATTTAAACCCTTTTTTCCTACACGGCTGATTTAACCCAGTCTTAAATACTTCGTTTTAATTTTATTACAAAAAATTAAGCACTGTCAATAAAATCAACAACGATATTAAACTTCGTGCAATTCCATTTAGGGCAACAAGCTAGGGAAAACAACAGAGGGCAGTCATCCCCCTGGAGGGGGGCAGTACGGAGGTGCAATCTTCTCTGAAAGATCAAAAATTAAAATAGATTTTCTACCATTGTGGCAAAACAGTTTATTAATTCTTTTTTAAAAGGGTAATTTACACTCCCCCACTCCCCTTTCGGACAGCACCGCCCAAAATCAATTCCCCCGGGAGTTTGGACGAGGGCTGCGGTACACATCTTTTAGTGATGTTCAGTTACCAACCTGGGGCTACTCCCTAGTAACTCTCACTTTCCCCGTTTCTGTCAGCTTGATAACCCCATTGTCGGTGCAACCCTTTCAAGAAAACTTTTGTTACCTGGTCAAAGAATTCATGGAAAAGGGTCATGATAGTGTGGGGCAACTAAAGGGGGATTTTTTTGGGGAAAGGTTGACAGGGCATTAAGGAATTTACTTTTAAATAGAAAATGTCCCAACACAAAGGAAAACCCTCAGTTCCTTTACATTCAAAAAGGCATAGTAAAAACTAAAATTGGCCAAAAGCTTGAGGGGAATGGGGGGGTAAATTGAATTTTAGCGAATTTTAATTTGGGTTATCGATATAGGTTATTAACATTCCCCAAGCGGTAAGACCCCACAATTCCGATTTTTAAAATTTAGGGTTTTAATACTAATCCCCTTTTCCCCCCCCCCCCTGAAAACTATTCGGGTGCCTAGCCCTTCAAAAAAGTTCACCCAAGCCCTTTCCCAAAAAGACCCACCCCTTTAGACGGGTGTTAAATATTAACAGTAATGAAAACTTCGCAGGGGGGATCCCTTTAACCTAGTACGCCCCCGCTAGACTAAGTTCATATTAAAAAGGCGTAAATAAGTTTCGTTTTTTTAAGTTCCGCATAAGTAATTTAAAGAAACAATTTAAAAATAAAAAGGTAGTTTAAATCATGAATTAAATTTGTAATTTTAAATATGCCCGAGTGTTTTGAAGAAAATTTGTCGTTCAGGGCGCAATGAGACTTTTGGAAGATTTCCTTATTTTTTTTCCAAACCCGCTTAACTTTAATCGTCGGGGTTTCTTTTTATTTTTGCTTTTACCTTTAACATCCCAAAATTGGGGCCGGCAAATTTTTTTTCATTCCTCTTTTTTAAAGGGCTAATTTTTCTTATGCTAGGAAATGGAAACAAAAAAAAAAAAAAAACTTCACAAGTGCCTAGTTTGTTATGATTTTTACAGCTGCATTACAAATTTTTTTTGGATGGAAAAAGGTTTATTTAACAATTTGCCACTTTGTATTTTTATGCTACTTGCATCAAAAAATCAAACTTTTGGGGAAATTTAATTTCCAGCAAGAACGAACAAAAGGACATGAAACGCGAGTTTTAGGCCGACAAAATTCTCAGCTCTTTAACCCGTAACGGTCCAAACATACATGTATCGTTTTTTCAACATTGAATGAAAAAAATTTAGGTTTTTTTTACATTTGAAAAATTAAAAAATGTAGATCTACTTTTGTAACTACACTTGTGACGTAGATCTGAAAGGAAACCCGACTTGCTAGGTTGTATTACAGTTTAAAATTATGATTAGCGGTTTCTGGGAAGGGACAGCGCCAGTTTAAAGTTCAGTACATTAAAGTTGCAGACTAACATTTCACTCTGTACACTAAAGTATAAGCAATACTTTTAAAGACTAGTTGAACTCTTTTCAACGTAAAAAAAAAGTCCCCAAGTGATATTCTTTAAACGTCGCCCGAACCTACGAAATTAGAGTACCATTAAGGAAGTGTCTTAAAGAGGCGGGGGGACTAAACACTGAAAAGCCATGACTGATACATGGCCTTTTTTCTAATTTAAAGAATCAGTCAAGTCTTCTATAAAAGTCTTTCGACCCATTTCATCAATGAAAGCTTTGCATGGAAGTAAATGATTAAAATACCGACAAAGAAAACAGCCGTAAAATGTGATCCTTTATTGACAAAGTTTCCCCCACACGTGGGCTTTATCACGTCACACAGATTGACTTCATAAACCTCACTGCGGGCAAAAACTCTAGGACCACATACTGCTCGTGTCCTATTCCCACAAGCTTTGTATACTGCTCTCCAAAATTAGTTTTGTTAACATACCAGCCCGGGCAGAGAAACTTACCCACAATTCCTTTTTAGGGAAAACATTCCATGGGCGCCTTAACAGGCTGACAGTCGCTGGATGGTGGTGGAGGGCAAAACACCAGTTTGCAGTCTTGCCTGGAAGATAAGTCTGATCAATCTTGCCAGTGGTAAATCATTAACAATTAGTCAACATGAAGATTTATCACCCGGGGGGATAAAGCTAGGAACCTAATGAAAAATGTTTAAAAAAACCCTTTTAAAGTAACCTGTCAGTACAATGAAGTGTTTCATTTAGCATTTTCGTAGTGTTAAATTTATTCACTTTTGGAATTTACAAAATTTAGTAGCTATCTAAAAATGGCGAAGCCAGGGACTGAGGGCGACCACACTTGCTAAAATATGGATTAGTTTTAAAAACCCTTGGGATGACTAGAGAATTCAACCAGTTCTTGTGGAAAAAAAAAACCGTTCTTACCAGACACTTCGGCGTCATTACTCCTGAAGGTACTCTTCAGGGAAGGGTTTTTTATAAATTTCACTGTTTACTTCCTGCTTATTTCCTCAGTACCGAGTACGATGTTGCTCAATCCTTTTCCCAGTTTATTTCAAGGAACTAATTTATACCACTAGTTAAATTCTAATAGTTTGAAGATTGCACGGGAGACAAGTAAAATTTTGCCAAGACGCCCGATTTAAAACTTTCGATAGGACTATAGCTATGCGATAAGAGATTACACAATATGATGTTTACCATACTGATACGAATGTACCTTTTTTTCGGAAAAAAGAAATTCCAGAAAAGCAAGCTAGGAATCTAAAATTACCAAAGTAAAATCCAGCCTAGACTTTTAGGGAGAGTCTAGCTTAGTTATTCCTGTACAGAAAATACTTTCCAACCCGGAACCAGCGCTCGAGATAATCAGGATACCGGGGCAAGATCAAGAAAGTAGTTATTGCGGTTATTTAATTCCAGTTGATTTAACCTAATTACCAGTTGGCCAATGCGACCACAACTTAGTATGAAGCACCAGCCGAGTCATTCTTGCACGGTACATATATTGTGCGGGTGGCCAGACACTGGGAAAGTAAAGCCATCAGATTTTAAAGAGAAACCCGTAGGAGACTAGCAAGATGGGTAGGAACCAGTATAGTTCAGACTGATTTAGTAAAATTTCAGTAACTACTAAAGGAACGAACCATTTATAGCGATGTTTTGAAAAAAAATTTCCCAGAGTTTTAAGCGAAATACTTTTGCCACAAGGCTTCCCCTAGGTGAAATAATTAGAAAAAGGGGGGGGTGGGGGGGGGGGGCTAAGTAATTTTGGGCGCCCTGAAGGGTCCTACGAAAAATTACTCACCACATTCCCATCGTGGACAACACTTTGCCAGGCTGTAAAACTTCGCGACAATTGGATTTAGGCGGCGGTCCACAAATTCTCGTTCTCTTCAAGATTCCGCTTAAGGTACAAATATGGGTGATGCAGGGACTAGTTTGCCAGGTACTGTAGAGCTTATGATGCTCTCCAGTGTCGTCCACACACCCACTGAAACATTGTGAAATACTTTGTATATCAGTTTTGAACCTTGTGTGGGCAAGATTTCTTAAACCAAATTTAGTAAACTAGTTTATGGAATTTTAAGAGCGGCAGAAGTAAAAAAAAAAAAAAAAAAAAAAAAGATCTAAGAATGCATTTCAGTATACAAGTTCAAGAAATGGGAGGACTGGGATGCTTAAAAATAGAATGGCTTAATTAAGCAGCCCCAGGAAACTACAACATTACGCAAAGACAAGCGTTGTACCGAAATTGGCATCAAAGTTCTTACCGCGTGACCGTGCAATTCCACGTGGGACAACATGATCCTTCAATCTCGATACAGTGGCTATATGGCTTCGAAGGCCCACGAAATAAGAAGTGTTTGGCACACTGTCTGCCATCAGTGCATACACTTTTGGGTGGGCTTGATCTGGTTTGCCAGCTACACCTTCATCCTGGATCAGCCCCAGTGTGGTCCACGAAAGAAAATGGCAGCTATTACATTCAACTGGAAGAAATTAACAGTAATTGGTTTGTAAATTCAAGATTATGCATCCGTTCTTTATCCTGTATATTCCTTCACAGCTATCACGTTCTTGAGCAAACCATTAAACAGGTTACACTGAATAGTTATACTTTTCAAATCTTAGAATATACGTAAATGCCTAAAATTCACAATTCACTAGTATCTAAAGCACTAGTAAACGAAAGCCATTCATCAATGGTCAGATTTATGCAAGAAAGGCATAAACTTTATACCAGTAACATTATGAACCTTCAGTTGAAAATTTTAACTAGGGAAATTAGTTATCCTTATCCATCAACAAATCTCGAACTTCCGTTTTTCAGATTAACAGTCAAATCAGGATCACAGGAATAACTTCATATTCGGCAATCGTTTTACTTAATTAAATATCTTCATATCAGAAGAGTCAAAGTCTTCAATGAGGTAGGGGAGTGGAAAGTCTAAAGATGGGTAATAACTAGAATGTCTACCAAATGTCACTACAATCTTCACATTAGTTGCATTTGTGTACATTTAACCCTCAAGATGCTACTAACCCCAGGCACAGCCTCATCACCGACCAACGTATTAAGAACAATCGGCACTTAAGAATTTAAAGTAAATATTAATTCGCACTTAGCCAAATCAGGTTAATTCAGTACAGTTTAATTCATTCCCCCCCCCCCCATTCATTTTTCCCAAGAGACTCGTTAGATCATTAAATAAAAGATATTTGCAAGCTAGGCACCCAGGGTTTGAGGGTACAGGAGTTGAAACATTTCCTGAACGTCCTAAACTGAAGTCACCTTCAATGTTCCCTTAGGAAAACTGAAAATTTTCAAAGCAGCGACAACGGGAATAATTTAAACGAAATCTAACAGCCATCACTCACATGGCATGCGTTGTGGCACCCTGACGGAACAATTTCTGCAGTTAAGAAGGGTTCTTCAGTAACAGTCTTGCTCCACACACCGCTCAGCGCACATCCCCTTTGAACACCTTCACTGACTGGCCCCAACTTATACATGAGCATGTTAAAGCCGCAACCTGTCATTTATACTTTTAAAATCCAAGACTTAATTTTATTTTCACAAACATTTTTGCAAAGCATCGAAAATTTCAACTACCTCTAATATGGATAATTGTGATAAAGTACATTGAGCTAAGAGGTGCAGTACTCGCCTGAAGGTACCCTACTGCAAAGCGGGCAGCAGCCATGTTCCGAACAGCACTGTTCAAATTCCGGGGAATTTTCTTGGAAGCGGCAGCAAGCCCAGGCACCACACTGGGTCAATTGGGAGTCCGCAGCATCTGCTGTTAAATAAGATTAAGTAGTTAAGCTATGCTATGAAAGTAGGCCTAGTATCTAGCCCTAGCGCCACTTTTCCTTTATTTCAGTGCACGCAAGATAAATATACTTCCAAAATTAGAACGCAGGAGTGTGCATGTATGCACACATGCATGCGGAAACTGGCACGTACGCATCTAGTATGTAGGAACATATTTTGTGAACAATCTTATTTTAAACTCTTGTATGCGCGCATTCGTGCATATACTTTCGTACGAATGCATAACAGTAGGTATACGCTTGTACAATCTTAAATTTAGGCTAATTTAACATTTCCGAATTCTAGATAACTTTAGAATTGCATGAAAAATATCTAGAGAATTTTTCAGCTTATTGCTCCCACATCTTGGTTCAGTACGCACTTGCTCAAATGCGGCGTGATCCAAGGATTGTATCCAGTATTGCACAGCAGTGCTTCAAGGGAAAGCAGTTGAGGTTGTCCCAGAATGCCACACAAGTTTTAATTGTTATATTACCTTCTCGCAGATTTTTAATGTATTCAGAAGCATTTTAAAGTTTAAAGTGTCTAAATCAATAAAATTGTAATTTGGACAAAGGGCCAGAATCTTGCAAGAGATAAAGAAAGACTGAGCTCAAAATACACAAGCACATTAGGCTTTTTTAAACTTCAGGTTTCATAAGTTTGGAAGGAACGAGTCTAACTTCCAAAGTAGCACTCATTTTTCACTTATTTTCCGAAAGTAAATGTTTTTGCATTAGCAAAAATAAATTTAAGCCTCAGATTGGCCACCTTTGAAAGGTATAGCAGGGTTTTATGACTCAGAAATTTTAATGATTTAGGAAGTCATTTATTAGGCAGAGGAACTATGGAGCTGAAGTGGGGATCAGATTCATAAAAAATTACTAAACCACGCTTTAATAAAGTGTCAAAGATAAAACCATGAAAGTTTTATGAACTGAGGATAAAACTTAAAACTTTACTAAATGTGGAATTTAATATACAATAGACAATACGGAGCTCATACATTCACAGGCATATGAATCTTGTCTAAAGGCTGGGTACCAGCATTCAAAATTTGGATTTATCTGATGTGGCATTAATATTAAACAGCCCTCATAAATGTTTAATATATCAGCTTCCAGTTTTATTGTATTCCAAGTCAATTTCAATATATCTGGCAAGTTGGCATTAAGAGGGATTTAAAGTTATTGCACTGGGAAAATTTAGGTCCATTTAAAAACACGTGCATATTCTCTTGTCAGGAGATTTCCAAGTATTTAAAGCGGAAAAACTGAAAACCTGCTAGACCTCTAGCAAGTTAAATTTAACAAAAGTATTTAAAAGCAAGTTCCCTTTACCACGGTATTTTAACCCACTTGTTCGTAATAGAAAGACGAAGGTAACTATTTCGAGGGAGACTGGAATAGTTAACTTTCTGTAATGTAGAACTATTTTGGCTAATCTTATTAATCTAATCTAATGGAGGCAACTCTGGGAGGTTCGCAACAAAGAGGAGAATGTATTGGAATGGTGGGAGAAGCATGCTAAATTGCAGATTAAGGAGTGTTATCAGCATAGAGGACGGGATGAGGCGAGGTGGAGGTTTGGTTTACAGAAATTTTGAGGGGCAGCTCAATGACTATGAAGGGGGGGGCTAGACATGGAGAAAGAGGTTTTAAGGGGAAGACTGAGGGATATACAAAATTCTCGTTTTGATGCAATACGTGTGAGGGAAGGATTAGAGGAGGTACTATGGGGTGAAACCGTCAGGATGTGTTTTGAGGAGAATTATGGAATTAGAGGTGTAAAGGAGTGGGGGCAGGTACTTGGTACCACCGATGGAATGAATAATTATGCTGATTATTGGTTTACGGAGAATTTTAAGCAGGGGGAGGGAGATTCTAGGGGAAGGAATACGGGGTATTTTAAGGGAGGAGAGAGCGGTAATAGATGGTAGGATCAGTGAGGTGGAGGAGGCGGTAATGGGCTTGAGTAGGGGAAAAGCGCCGGGCATTGATGGAATTCCTAATGATTTCTATATTAGACATTGGGATTGTATGAAGGAATGTCTGGTCTCTTAACTGTATGAAGGAAAGGAGTGTTGGGGGAATCGCAGGGCACGGGGGTAGTTTTTTGGTCTAAGGGAGGGAGGGGGGGGAAGACCTTGGGTGCTTTTAGAGCGATCTCCCTCATGTGTGCTGATTATACTGTTTTCACGAAGGTTTTAGATAATCGTATGAAAAAGGTGCTTGACCGAGTTCTACATAGAGGACAGTGTGGGATTCCAGGTCGAAGTATGCGTGAAGGGCATTGAAGAATTAGGGATTTCGTGGAGAGTAGACAAGGGGAGGGGGATCTTGGGGATTGATTGGAAGCAGGCTTATGACAGTGTCGATAGACATGTGGAGTAATTTACAAAAACAGGGTTTTGGGGATGAGATTGTGCGCTGGGCGACTACTTTGTATACGCCTGCGAGGGTCAGGGTACAGGTTAATGGGAAGTTAGGGTTGCCGGTGCAGTTGGGGAAGGGTTTGAGACAGGATTGCCCCTTGTCTCAAATCCTCTTTGCATGCATGACCCTTTTTATAGGCTTATAGAGAAAGGAGTGTGGGGAACAGGGAGAGGAGGGTCCTGGCAGATGTGGTATTGTGGGGTATGTGGATGACACCACAGTATTGGTGGGAGGGTAAATAGGATTGGGGAATGTGGGACGTATAATAGAGATTTTTGGTGGGGAGACAGGGATGAGGGTTAATGGAGCAAAGTCAGTTATTAGAAGTAGGCACGTGGGTGGGGAGAATTGTATGGGTGGAACATAGTTGATAGAATTAAGATGTGGGGTTGTGTACATGGCGGACGTGGGGAGGCGCAGAGAAGAAATTCCAAGGATGTTGCGAGTAGAGCGATGGGTAGGATGCGTGGGTGGAGGGCTGGGGATGTAACGTTGCACCCGAGGGTGGTGGTAGTAAACATGTGTGTATAGTAAAGTGTGGGGAGTGGCAGAAGTATATCCCCCGAGGTCGTGTGATATTCAGGAACTGGAAAGGGTGGTTTTGAGGTACGTGTGGAGTTATGGGAAGCCATGGCTACGGAAGGAGGTGGTGGTGATGGGCGTGCGGCAGGGTGGGCTGGGTCTTATACCTTTGGAGACACGAGTGAAGGCAGTGTATGTGAAGCAGCGGTACTTGAGGGCGGAAGGGGAGAGGGGTAGAAGGGTGGTAGAGGTCATGGAGGATGTGCGAAAATGGTGGAAGGGGAAGGCACTACTGGTGTGTGAGGACATGGGGCATAATTTGTTGGAAATACGGGATGCAAAAAAAGGAAAGGGGGCTTGGAGGACAGGTAGGCAGCGCAAAGTGATACAGGGAGTAGCAACATACCCTTTGTATGATGGAGGGGCTTTGGGAAGACTTTCGGAAGATTGGGATTAAACCCAAGGGTTCGTAAAGTGGTTTATAGGTTCTTTATGGGAATTCTAGCTACAAGGTCAGCACTATATAGAATGGGTTATGTAGGTGCGGGCACTTTTTGCATTGTGAGGAAGAGGAGACTGCTTTTCATGCTGACATTTTTGTGAAAACTTGGAGGTTGTAAGGACATGGTCAGCGAGGGTCCTGGGTATTAGTGGCGGGAGGGGGAGAAAAATTTGGGACTTTGAGGGCTTTGCATTTTGATGTAGGCGGGGTTTCCAAGGACATTCGGAGGGCATTGATGTAGTGGCAGATTTTTTGTAAGTGTCTTGGTGCATGCGGGAGGTAAGGGGGGGGGGCGATTGTAGGGTGCAGGCACTTGTGGAGAGTATTGTTTCAGTTGGCAGAAATAGGCTATATGGGAGGTTGTGGGTAAATAGTTTTCCTTGGGTTATCGTAATCTGACGGTAGGTGTAATGTTAGGGTTGGGTGTAGTTTTTGATTTTGGAATGGGTCGTTTTCTCCCCAAACTGGCACTTTTGTTCCGTTTTGAGATTAGTGGAGGATGGAAGGTGGAATAAAAGTGTGGTAGTGGAGTATAAGGGTGTAAAGTAGTTAGGAATGAGGGGGTGCGTGAACTAGTGACTTTTGGTTAAGAGACGGGTTTTATGGCTTTAGACGTTAGGTACAGACTTGAGCATTGAAAGGGAAGTGTATGTATAATGTTCGCCAAGACCGTAGTCTTGGCACGGGTCTCAGTCTTGCGATGACCCGTCTCTGGCTCCCGATGGAGAAAGGTTTCTACAATGATGAGACGTATGCTGCTCAAGCACTCTTCTGGCCAGTTCAACTGGTGCATCTCATAAGCGACACCATATGTACTCCTAACTATGGACACTAGCTAGGAGGAGGAAATGTCGTTATCACAGGTAACAGCTTGTCTGGTTCGTTGACCCCATGGTATACTAGTGTGGCCGCAGTCAACTGTCATCTTCGGGAGGGAATATCACTCCTAGTTGCCTGCGGAGTGTCTCAGTAGCTTCGCACTGAAAGAGTGTTAGGGGCCGCTGGACAACGTGCTGACAGTACTGGCACATCTCCTCAGCCTTGTCTACCATCATCTTGGCTGTGGGGAAAGCCCAAAACGAAGCCGATGATGGCGGTACACTGCGCTCTGGACCAGCTTCTATCATATGGAGGTGGCTCTCCCAGAGTCGCTGCTCTGTACCACTGTTGAGATGGGGTATCACCTAAGACCTCCCCCATAAGTTTCATGGCTCTGGCAGCCACCAGTTTGGTCTGTCGTAGGCTGATTGGGACAGAAATTTCCCAACATGTGGATAGTCTGTTGCTGCCTTGGCTGCAACATCTGCCGCCTCATTTCCCCGGATGCCAGCATGGCTGGGGATACAGTTCAATGTCGATCTGTTACCTGAACTTCTAAGGCTGTCATTATGCTCAGGATCGATGTGATCAGGTGAACATTGTCCTGTGGTCGAGGATGGGAGAGGGCATTTATGGCAGAGGTGGAATCAATATGCATGACAGGTCGGCATGAAAGGGAACGCGAGTGTTTTTTAATATATAGTATGGGGTCAGGGGATGGCTTTCTGAAGTCTTGTGCCAGGATGGTTTTTTAATGATTGAGGTAGTACTGCTCTGTATATGCTTTATTAGGAGCCATAATGTTATATTATGTAATTTAGTGTGACAGTAAGTGATATTGTTCTGGAACTTTGTTAATAAATATATACATCTTGTTGAACATTATAATACATAAATATGGGAATATGTATTAGTGTGCGAGTTTCAATGTCGCAGCACTGTTACCATATTAGTTGGTGCCCTTCACTTTGTCAAGTAATTACTATCTATATATTGTTATAAGTTTTATGTTAGTTATTTTATAAGTTTAAGTGAACAAATGTAGGATAAACCATACCACGGGCGGGATTGAACCCGCGGTCAGTCTCAAACCTCCAGACCGTCAGAGAAATGTAAGGTTGTGACGTCTAGTGCAAGTGGCTTTTATCTTGCACAGGGGAGAAGGGGAAGTGTAATTTAATTATGATTGGATCATAACGACTTAATTGAATGTGTGTACACTATTTAGAAGACGGGAAGGATTGCGAGGATTGTCAATACATGTATTAATTCTTATGCAAATTTCATGGAATTCTGCGTAATAACAATGTACACCTATTAGTCGGATAAGTATAATTGAGATTTTATGCTTATTGTAATTATTTTGATTGATCAAATAATTAATCTGGTATTTAGCATTGGAGTAAAGTGATAAAAAGCACAGGGGATGGGGGGGATATTGTGTCAGCACAAAGATGAACCTGCAGTGTGTATTTACAAAATGGAAAAGTTTTATTTTTCCTGTGGCGGAGTCGATAAGGTTCTTTTTATTCTTTTATTTTAATGTATTGTAATGTATTTTTAAATAAAAAAAAATCTTATTAACCTACAAGTAGTAACTAAGAACTTCAGGAACCTAATAATTAAAGTGTACAATAGAAAACTTCTGGCATTAGTAAGAGGCCTACTTAAGTGTTATCACCTGCTCAGTTTTTTCACGTTTACTTACCAGTATGGGATCTGCAATCAATGGGGCAGCAGCCGTGTTCAGCACAACAAGCGTTGAATTCTGACGAGAACATTGTGTACTTGCAACACTCCTCTGGGTTAAAGCACTCTTGTTCATGGCTCCTGACAGTGCCGCAGCCGCCTGTGGGATTTACCATGAAAATTTTTCATTAATTGGCACAATTTTTTTATTTTAATGACAGCCTACCTCCTCTGGGTTCAAACAGAAAACTATAGGTTTGGATTATAACACTAGTTAACTGGAGCATTATCTGTACGCTCTTTCCTTTCATCTAACTAGAGAAAAGTTACTTTTAAAGTTCTGATACTTTTAATTAAGTATATTCCTTTTTTCGATTATTAACCTATCCATGGTAGTGCAGATGCCGGCATCAGTAAATTTAAAATTTGGGTAAGCATTACACAGTTTACTAGAAACTAACACGTATGAGGAAAGTTCAGAAAAACCTCGACATATGCATAGTAATACGGGTTACCGTGTTCGAAACTACTTCAAATGGAACAAATTAACGAGGCCAAATTATGCCCCATCCCCTCCCCTTACTGCTACAAGTGATACCCTGCCTCACTGATTCGGGGAAGAACTTATGTGAAGTGCTAAAAATGTGAACCCAGATACAAGGCTATTAATACCTTTTGGGCTAGATCCCTTTCATTATAATCATGGGGGAGCGCTAAACCCGTACTACTATACAGCGCATGTGTGGGGGGGGGAATATGAAAGGTATTCATACAATTCAGGGAACCCGAGCACAGATCCAATCCCCTACATCAAGAGCCCCTCACCAGCGTCAAGAACTTCCCTAGAGGGGTAGATACCTTTCAGTATCTAGGGAATCTTAAAGTCAATTACTCTAGAAAAATGATCTGGAGTTTCAAGTTATTTGCCCATTTCACTACAGCTAGAAAAAGTAGCAATGCCAGAGAGTCTATAGCAATTTGTTGGTCAACGAGTCTGAAATTTATAATTTGAGAAGGGCCACTAACATCAGCATTTAGCCTGTATGAATTTATTTTAAAGATTACCCAACCGGGAGAAAACCTTAATGCTCTAATAATGGCGACTTTGGTTATGTAAAACTACTTAAACTACCAAATACCCAAAGTTCTAAAATTAGATTTTATAGTTTTGGAGTCAATTTTCTGACCTTCAGGTGTGCAGGACTTATCACTGTCGGGAACACCTGGTTAGCCAGGTTAACTTCTGCAAGTTTACTATACTAAACCACTCATAACCAGTGTTTAGACTGGTTTAAATATAAAATGCAAGCTTTAAAATTAGACAAAAATAAAAGGAAACCAATTCCTTGGAACAAGAACCCTTCACAAGCATCAAGTGAGAACGAACTAGTGACTTCTTTTAATGAAGAATTGAGACACTTATGCAACACATGGGAATCTTTATTGAAGAAACGTTTCGCCACACAGTGGCTTCATCAGTCCAATACAAAGTAGAAATGGGTAAGGAGAGTAGAAATATGAGGTAATCAGTCCCTCAACCTGGATTCGATGTGTTCAGTCCATCACTTGTGATGGACTGAACACATCGAATCCAGGTTGAGGGACTGATTACCTCATACTCCTACTCTCCTTACCCATTTCTACTTTGTATTGGACTGATGAAGCCACTGTGTGGCGAAACGTTTCTTCAATAAAGAATTCCCATGTGTTGCACAAGTGTCTCAATTCTTCAAATTGTCTGTTTTCAAAACCATTCATCACACTTTTTTAATGTCTCGTCTATACAGTGACAGTTAACAATGGAAGGGGAACAACTGTTGCAGACAGTTACGCCCAGCTAATAGGAGGGTATCGAGAGATCAAGTCCAGAACCAGCTCCTGGCCCAGTAGAATAACAGGCAATACTGTGCAACAGACGTTAAACTTTCATCCAAAATTTCTTTACCTACATCGCCATCATAAGATATTCGCTAGTTTATAGTCTAGGTATTTATTGTAATTTAATGAGGGTAGCGGTAAATCCGTAGGGGTCATGCAGCGCATGGGAAATGGAAATAGACGAGGGTTGATCCAGTTCCCTGGTTCAGGAGCCCCTCCCACCATTATTACCAAGCTTCACGATTTAACATCTTCGCTAGTCATAAAACGGTAGTGCGGCAACATTCATGGGAAATCGCTAAATCCTTAAGAACAGAGATAAACACGTAGTTTTAAAATTGATTAGAATATACTGGGGTCCAAATAGCAAAATAATTTCAGGGAAAGAACAGAAACCCCTACACTTCCCCGGAGGCTCCACTAACAGTATTAGGTAATCAGGCGAGGGAACACTAACAGGCTTCACTAATAGAAGCAGACAACGAGCGGGGACACCAAGGAACCCTCTAATAAACACGGCAGAAGGGTGGAGAAACCTCGCTAAAAGAAGCAAGATAAAAGGAGCTGTAAAAGAACCAACTTCATTAAAAACACGACCAGCTGGGTGGTATTGTAGTATGTACTTGGGCTGGTAAATCGGATTGTAGCCAGTATTACCAGGAGGCTATTAAGCTTGTATGCAACTTTCACCAAATCAAAAATAAAACTTTTGCATATATACCGCGGGGGCGGTGACCCCCGAAAGACCCTCCAGGTATACTGCGGGTAGCCCTGTCTGCCATACGTGAAAGTAAATTACTTACCTGGCCCGAGTGAACAGCAACAGGAAGAGCAACAGCACTGCAAGCAAGACTTGACCTGCGTACTTAGAGGTCACCATTTTTCTCAATGGTCAACCAGGCCTTGAAATTCACTTATAAAAAACGCATCAGTTAAACTAACAAAACTTAAAAAGTAAAAAAAAAAATATAACGACGAGTGAACAGGTATATACAATCCAGGTAACAGTCAATGACCCACTGACGGCTAATAATAGTTCATTATCCGTTCTCAGTTTTGTTTCCCAAGAAGGTCAAACCACATTATTAAGCAAAGACTAATTGTGATGTCATAGTTTGATATTAAGCAATAGATGGTGCTGACTAGTGAGGTATTCTTTTGTCCTGTAATTATACAGTCAAGGTTTTGATATGTTGTCAAATTAGGGAATAATTTCACAATTTATGTATAGTTACTTAGTGGATGTTAAGACAGGAATGGTTAGAGATTTGTGATACACAGGATTTTGTATAGTGTGAGGTGTGTGAATGTGAGAGCAGGTACAGAAGGCTGATCTGATTCCTCGGTGGACTGAAACCCCGGGATCAGTGGCGGACCTATATTTTTGGGCCCCTGAAGCTTGAACTGTTATGAGGGCCCCATCGCAACCAGCAACTACTAGCCTACATGACACTTTAAAAACCTTTTAATTTTTATTTTAATTATCTTGTATTGAATTACACTATACTATTAATATTATTATTTAAAAAAAATTCTCGTACAGTAGACCCAAAATTTTTAAGCAATGTGGACTAGAGTTGGTTCTGGGGCCCCTCCAGGATTATGGGCCTGAAGCTTAGGTCCATTACTTTCATAGTAGATCCGCCCATGCCCGAGATGATCTAAGTAAGTCAAGATGCGATACTAATATATACTGAGGTCTTGATCTCCTTCTGTAGGATGCGAGGTCCTGATCCCCTTCTGTAGGATGCAAGGTTCTGATCCCTTCTGTAGGATGCGAGGTCCTGATCCCCTTCTGTAGGATGCGAGGTCCTGATCCCCTTCTGTAGGATGCGAGGTCCTGATCCCCTTCTGTAGGATGCGAGGTCCTGATCCCCTTCTGTAGGATGCGAGATCCTGATCTCCTTCTGTAGGATGCGATTCACAACACTCAACTAACTTCTAGGTTACTATTTGGCAATAAGTGGAAAGGGAAAACATGTGCATAACCTACGAGAAGCCTCATGGGTTCAGTGGAAATGTATTTCAGATCAATATTTGGCTTATATACTATGCAAAGATTATGGGTAATTTATTTTTAATATACTAGAAGTTAGGGAAAAGGACACAGGTGCAACTTATTAGTTGCTCCTGTGGCAACGTTTCCCTCTCTAGGAGCTTTGTCAAGCCGTTAGGTAACGCTGATACAGTTCTTGGAGAGTGAAACGTTTTCCACAATAAAACGTCACAACAGTTGCACTTGTGTCCTTTTACTTAACATATTGTCGATAATTTTACCAACGTTAGTACCAATTTATCAGAACTTCTAAATCCGTGTGGATCATTCAGCTCAAGGGAAAAGTGGAGGCTTGACTCACGAAATCGTAATGACACGATTGCAAACAAACCATACCCCGGCCGGGGTTGAACCCGCGGTCAGAGAGTCTCAAAACTCCAGACCGCGGGTTCAATCCCGGCCGGGGTATGGTTTTTTTTAGTGGAGGCTTGATGCTCCGTTAGCTTATCTCGAGAAAGACATGTTATCATCCAAATTTACACATACATCATAAATCCAAGGTAATAACTATGATCATAATTTTTAAAGGGGTGGGGCCGTTAAGCCAGCAGAAGGCCTCGGTCAGATGACCAAAAGCTCCAACAGAGGTCATCATCTATACCTGATGAAGCCACTGTCAATTCGCTGCTGACCCCGGTTTGAGTGCGGTTGTGCTCTGCACCCCTCTGCTGTTTCAGGCGAGTTTTCACCAGTTCGTCAACAGTCATTGAGTAGTGAGGACGTGTGCTGTCATTTCAACATGGCGCTGCATAGCAACAGGCGCATCAACACTGTTTGCGTTGAGTTGACCGTGGGGCTGTCACGGGAGCCACGATGGATTTGTTACTACCGGGATTATCCGTGATACCTACGGTATCGCAAATGAAGAGTATGTGGTGTAGCACTTAATGGGACGACACGGATTTTCGTTAAAATGACGTCAGCAATGTACACGAAGCAGTGGTGGATAAGTATCAGGAGGACCATTATAGCCGTCAATTCAGCTGTATCAGTACGTCTTCATGATGTATCAAGATACTACACAGGGGGTAAAAATCAAGAAGTGCCTTTTGAAGCGACTGTTTTTGTTAAAAAAAGATGAACTACGTAATTATGGTACGGTTCATATGGCCTCTGCAGGTCGGGGGCCGCCTGGACCTTATGCTGGAAGTTTGGAGGGAACATATTCAGTCAAAATGACCTTACGCCACCCCTTTAACCCGTCCTATATTATGTTGCAAGCATTTCGAACTCAAGAAATATGTGACATATGCGGGGCAACGTCGTACGTGTCGGCTGTGTGGGTCGTATGACCACATAGCGGCACAGTGTGGTAAGCGTCGTGGAATCTCCAAATATCGCAACAGCAAAAAACCGGAAGAGGTCGAGGAAGTTGAGGGACGAGAACAGTCTTATGCTCACCCGTCTCGGACAACGGACATCTTGGAGTGAAGAGGTAGAAAAGCGCGGAGAATGCTTTGGGGGATGCAAAACAGCGAGAAGAATCACCGTCATGGACATAAATAAAGTATTGGAAGAGACTCTGCCAACTATGGGGAAGAGGATGTAGCGGCCGTCTTTAGTGAAGGCACTGGATTTTTTGTTAGACGAGTCGATCGTCAAACCGTGTGGAGGATCCAGGTGCAATTTTGGGATCGGTTGAACATCATGGTGAGGCGACGGATGGAAGCATTGAGTCTGTGTGTCGCAGGGTTTATGACGGTAAAATGTAGCAGAAGTGGAGGTGCATCACGATAGTACTAAAGAAATCCCAATCAGGTGGAGGGTGGGACGCGGAAAGCGAACTGCGACCCATCAGACTCAGACGACGTGCTTATCCTGCCCAAAGGCCAGGAAAAAAGTCTTGGGCGGATGTACAGAGGACAGGGAACAGAGAATCCACGAAACAAGGGTTTATCAAGGTGGTTCCCAAAAAGGGGGGGGGGATAGAGGTGGTGTAAATGTATAAGTGAAAAGTCTATACCTAGAACGAAAGGAAAACCCATTAATTGACTTTAGGTTTTGAAATAAATATTAACGGTTTGAGATCTGAGCGGAAGCGAAAGTGGTTTAATGAATTTTTGGTGCGTCTAGATGTGGATGTGGTATTTATCCAAGAAACAATTACAGAATTGGATATGAGTTAGAAATGGATGGTTATGATGTGTATATGGAATATGCGACGAGGTTAAAAGGAGGCTTTCGCCTTTCTGGTAAAGGAAAATAGCCCGTTTGTAGTAGCCATAGGAAAGGGGGGGGGGGGAAGAGTGATTAGGGTGGATGGTTTATGGGGTAGAGCACACATAAGTTTTGTATGTGTTATGGGCCGGCCGAGGGAGATGTACGACTTAAAACTCATTTTGTACAAGATGTATTGTATATTATCTACGTAGTTTACCAAATGTAGCGATAATAAGGGGGCGACTGGAATTGTGTAATACGACGAAAAGATGTGGAGCCTCGAGGAGAGGTTGTTGCTTGGGTTTTCCTGGGAGATTTATTGACGAGTGTGGGTTTAAATGGAGTGTGTGGGGGGGGGGGGGCTGGTGGAGCATACTTTTATTAGACGAGATTATGCGGCGAGATTGGTAGAATGTACGTGTCTAGTGCGGTTACAGTGCGGAGAGTGAATGTGATAAATGTGGTTTTTTCGGATCATAGAGGAGTTGTATGGATGTAGATATTGAGGTGTGCTAAAAAGGGGTCCATCTTTTTGGAATTAAATGTAAAGTTATTGAAGAGGGAGGAAAGTCTTTTGTCTTTTGGGCTATGTGGGAACGCCTTGTGGTTGAAGCACCTGGAGTGTGGATTTGGTTAATTGGTGGGAAACGATAGCCAAAAGCGATTAAGGATATTATATTAGTCAAGGAGTGAGATATAGTCAGTTACAATACGGTTTCCAACGATATTTAGAGGGGCGTTGCGCAAACTGCTATGTACAAGCGAATGCTAATTATCCTGTTATAGAAATTGAAAGAATTAAGGAGCAACTACGAAATTTACAAAACGAAAGGTTTGATGGGGAAAGGCTTAAGGGTGGAATCGAAGAGTTTTGTGGGGAGATCGGCCGTCGGCGTGTGTGTTGAGGAATCAACCGACGTTCGCAAAGCAATGGAGTTAATGGGGTTGAATGTTCAGGTGGTATGCAGGGGTATAGAGTGAATCAGGAGTTGACGACGACGGAGGGTATGAGTGGGTATATAGAGCATGGGTTAAATTGAAAACGCAAAGTGTTGGAATAAGTGAAATTGCATTGCAGTCATCGGTAGGTTGTGCAGTTGTGAGCTGGAGGAGCATGATCGTTTGATGTTGGGAGGGCCGATAACGGAGTGTTTAGGGCTTGGGAGGCTTTATCTGGGGCGCAATTGGGTAAGGCGCCAGGAATTGAGGGTTTTCCCAGCGACTTTTTTCTTCAAAATTGGAACGTTTTAAAGGGGTTTTTGGTACGTTTATTCAATATAATGAAGCGGGATGGGGTTTTAGGGGAACAACAAAGGTTGGCTGTGGTCGTCCCCAGTTCCCCAAAAGGGGAGCCATTAACGGTTAAGATTATCGTGCAATCTCGTTATTATGTGGTGACTATAAAATTTTTGGAAGGATCTTGGCTAACAGAATAAAAAAAGTCCTGGGCAGAGTGATTTATAAGGGACAATATGGGGGTGCCGGGCAGGTCTATGTTGAAGGTCACGGTTATGATTAGAAGTTTTATTGAAGAAAGAGTAAGATTAGGAAAGGGGGGGGTATTGGCTATAGATTGGGAGGCGGCATATGATAGTGTGGGGAACGGGAGACGTTATGGAAGATCTGAGATGGCAGGGGTTTGGGGCGGAAATTATATCATTTGGGCCAAATTAATGTATCAGGAGGCAACCTTGCGTGTGCAGGTGATGGGATGAGGTTGGGAGATCGAATTCAAAATGGGAATGGGGGTTTTCGTCAAGGTTGTCCCCTTTCACAAATTTTTTTTGCTTGTTTCAAGATCCCTTTTATAGAGGATAAGGGTTTTTATTGGAAGCAAAGGGGATGGGTAATGTAAGGGATGGGGGGAGCGGGCATTGTTGGATATGTCGACGATACGACGATTTTGGGGAGAGAAAACATGGGATTATTCGGGTTAAAAAAACGTTAGTGAAAGTTTTTGAAAAAAGGGTACTGGCAAAGACGATCAACATGGGGAAAACAAAGTATTTTGAATCTTGGAAAGGGTCACGTGAGGACGGAATGGTTGCTGAAAGGTGGAAAAGGGTGGACCAAATAAAGATATGTGGGATCGTTTATGTAAATGATTTCAAGTTAGCACAGCAAATAAATTCCGTGCGTATCGTTGACGTGTTCTGAAGCGCCTCAGTGGTTTAAGAGCTGCTAATTTAAGTTTGCAAAAAAAGGGAGATTAAACGAATGTGCTATTATATAGTAAACTATGGCATGTTACGGTAAATTTCCGATACTTCGTTGTGAGTTAAAAAGGCTACAAAAAAGTGTTTTTAGATTCATTTGGGGGAAAAGGAGCGAATGGGTTAAGTAGAGCGGTTGTCACACTCCCGGTTGGCCGTGGAGGGCTGGGTCTTATAGATGTCGAAAAGAGGATAATAAGTATGTATTTAAAACATAGTTATAAGCGGGAGGGGGGGGTGAAAAGGGGACGGTCTTCATAGGATACATCAGGATATGCGACGGTGGGTGGGGGGGTAGGGAGTTCATGATAGGTGAGGCAATGTTACGGGTATTTATAAACGTGAGGGATCCTTTACATATTAAAATTTAGAAATCTTGATAGGGCAGATGGTAAGGCTTTGGTAGCGGCGGTAGAAGGAGTATATCCGTGTATGATTGGCGTAATATTTGGGGGCGTTTAAAAAAATTGCGTTTAAAACCTAAAGTCAGAGAAGTTATGGGATAGATTTTTACATGGAATATTGCCGTCAGGAAAAGGTTTTATTCTATAAGAGAATACGAGAGGATGGGGAATGCAAGGAATGTGGAGGATTGGCGACTATTTATCATACGGTGTATTTTTGCGATTGTATTGAAATTTAAGGGGTTTGGATGGGTAAGGTTTTAAGGTTAGTGGGGGAGGGGTTTGCAGGTCTTGAGAGTTTTAAGTTTAGATATAATGGGGTGAATAAAAGGGTTTAGAATGCGATTGGGGATATGATTACGGATTAAAATATACATGATGTGGGCTATGAGGGAGGCGGACGTGCGTGCAAGAATTAATGCGTTGGCAGCAACTTTTTATAGGACACAGTGTAGGAATAAAGGGGTGTATGGAGGGAGATGGGGAGGAATTTTAGTGAGGGTTATCGAAATTTCACATTAAGGGATTTTGGGATTTGCCCAAAAAGGGTAAGGGGACACACGGGCTATTTTCCTAGACTTGGGTGTGAGCATGGAGTGCTGTTTAAAAGGATGTATAATTGAGTTTTGATATCTATGGGCAATATGGTTATTGCCCGAGGGTTTCAGGAACTAAAAAGTTATTATTTTTGAAATGTGTTGTAATACGATTCATATTATCATTTATATGCATAAATCATTTCAAGGACTTTATGATGAAAATTTTCAATGACTCAATATGTTATAGGTGTCTTTAATGATTTTGATTCAAGTGTAATGTTTATAAAAAAAAAAAAAAAAAAAAGTTTTTCCTAGCATAAGCTACTGGTTCTTGTTTTGTTATATTTTATGCTGTGTTAGTGTGCTTTTCAGTAATATTATATTACATGTA